CGTTTCACCCTATAGTGAAGTCTTTGGTATACGAGAAGTTGGTGTTTGATAAGAACAACCCATTGTCTATGTAAAGTTGAACTGGGGGTGAGGTGGGGGAACTCTGTTGGACGTGCGATTGATGGGGATTGCATGTGAGCAACCTAAACGCCTTCGGGATCCCAGCTGAGCGTATATATATATATATGTATATATATATATATATATATATATTTAACACCGGCTTGAGATCAAGCTTGGTACCAACGCCATAACAATATTGACAACAATAATAACGAGCGGGGGGGTGTAGGGTACAGAATATAGGGAAAGAATGTAGTTGGCTGAATGGGGGATTACGAATAAAAGGAATAACAATTTTTTTTGGTGTTTCACCGTACACTTTTTGAATTTTTTTTTTGTTGTTTTTTATGGGTACNTTTTTTTGTGTGTTTCACCGTACACCTTTTGCAATTTTTTTTGTTGTTTGATGTTTCGTTTTTCTTAATGGGCACGGGATTTCGATAGACAGATCGTACAGCATTCGCGCCACTGACTTCTATTCTGCGCCATATCTCTCAGCGTCTCTAACCATAGACAATCCTCATCCCTTGGGCCCCAACCTGGAAGGCGGGCTGCACCAACCGAAGCCAAAGCTGAAGCCAGCTTTTTCATGCCTCTAGCCCATGTCATGGTCTGACCGCCGCGTCGCTTCTTCCAGCCTTGCCCGGCACGTGCAAAGAGAGCACGGAAAGGAAGTCGATGGGCAGGCATGCGCAATACGTGACCCAGCCATCGGAGGCGGTGTAGAGCGATTACTTCTGTTAGAGGGCGACTATCTGCACCAAGCACACGACGACGGACCTCGTCATTGCTCACCCGGTGTTCCCACCAGACACGAGCAATGCTTCGGAGACATCGGTGGTCAAATACAGAACAACCATGATGAACTCTTCGGATTCTTCGCGCATCCAGTTTACTGTTTGTTCAACTAAAGCCAGCTGAGCGTGGAAGTGAGCAACGTTTACTATGATTCCCGCTGAGTGAATACTTAGGAGCAGTAGTGATTTTAGAAATCACCTTCTATTTAGAGGAAACTGCAATTAGTGAGTCCACGGACATGAGGTACAAGCAATCAGGCTTGGTTCTCTTGTTGTTCGCTCGAACCGAACCACAGTGATATACAGCGCACAGTTGACTGCAACCTGGAATCCAGTCGAGAAAAGAGTGCTCAGTATTCACAGCGTAATTATGTCGCGGGTGCTAAATGCCACAGCAGCAGACGCACCTAGAGTGATGTGTGAGGATGAAATTGGGTTTGAAGAACGCGAGGTGATTACTGGAGTATACGTGGTTCAAACACAGCATAGGGTTCTTGCTACGGCGGCTGGTTCGACAATCTGACGGCATGATTAATGTGGCTCAATGAAACTTTCTTTTATCAATCCTGTGACTTCAGATGAGCTTGGAGTTATTTCGTACCTTGAGGAGCGCGGGAAAGAAAAATAAGAGAGGGTTTTCCAAATGGGCGTCTGAGACTTTGGGGTGTGACATGCTGTGGAGTAACTCATATTGACGAAGGGACATTCATTTGGAGGCACAGACTGTGGCCATTAAATGAACGTACATTTATGTAACTATGATCCGCCTATGTTAAAACGAAATGTCATAAAAAATTCCCTGAAGCACGAAACAAAAATGAATGAATAGAAATGATTGGAATCTCCAATCAGTTCCTTACCCTTGGATGGGTTTGAGGGTGAACCGATTCACTATTATTGGCAGTTCTATCCTTGCCTTTTGTCGTTGAGTTTGGTGTACCCGGAAGTTCATCTTCCAGGTGCTCAAGGAGATCGGAATTTTGGAACTCCGGGGAAGATTCATTTGAATCCGGTGAATCACGACTCAACGAGGTGGCAGAACTGTAAGCACGTGTGGGTGCACATGGAACCAGAAGCGGTGAGTCGGGCTGAACGAACGTTTTACACGAGGGTTGTGATTCCGGTACGTCATTCAAACTGACCATGTGTCGAAGCATCGCACGTGCTGGTTGGCTGGAGTCGGGGCTCGAAGCCGTTGTGTCGGAACTAGACGATCCGGACAATGCACTATCACTATTGCTGGAATCGGATTGAACTTCGTCGTGTGCGTCGCTATTGTCTCGAGTGCCGTTTGAGCTGAGCTGAACCGGTCTTGTAGGTTTACCACGATGGACAGCTGAGTGTCCACCACGATTCCGGGAAGTGTCAGACCTGTCGGTGGGAACGCATGAAGAAAAATAGTCACACATACGGCAAACGCATGCGTTCAAGGAGGACTGTGTTGATCTTAGATTTAAGCGACGGAGTGCATTGAATCGTAAGCAGGAAAATGCTGGCCTGGGAAACTCACACGCATTTGAATTTGGCTCAGTTATCGATAATATTATTGTCACATTTTCTGGGTTAGCTCCGAATCCACGCGGGTTTGGGCAGAACGATGAGCACACAATCCGCAATGAGGACGGAGAGCAGGCTCACTTTGAGATTGTGAGCAAAATTAAACGGTATGTACTACAACGCTAAGTACAATTCGGCCATTTAAACTGAGTGTGACCATATTCCACTGAACCTTTTGGTCCATGGATGTTAGAAATCTCCCTGTCTTTCAAGTTGCTTGGAAATTCCCTCTCCATGGAGAATCTGATGTCCGAAGTACTTCCTACCTGTGCATGGAGAGCGTCTGCGGGTTGTTTGCGTTTGCTTCCAGACCCAAA